GCGAAATAAGCCAATTTCCCCTAGATTTGCCTCCACATTATTTCAGTAAGGTCAAAATGAGTTCAACATTACGTTGGGCAAGTCCTCAAATTTCAGGAAAAGTTAAAAAAAACGCAATTTAAGGTAATTCAATTTGACCGTTTAAATTGGGTTTTTCTTACCTTTTCCTGAAATTTGGGGACTTGCCCAACGTAATGTTGAACTGATTTTGACCGTACTGAGATAATGAGGAGGCAAATCTAGGGGAAATTGGCTTATTTCGCAGGAAAATTGAATGACCTTTGAATTGACGTATTTGGGGGTCCGAACCCCCCCTTAAAATTAGTTCGAAGTGATTTCTGCAATTTTTACAAAAAAGCGAACACAATTTAGTAAATTTTCCCGTTTTATTTTTTTCTTTACAATAATTTGAATCGGAGTTGTGATTTTTTGAAAATAGGTCAAATTTGACCTTTGACCCTATCATAACTCGGTCAAAAATTAAGATATTGATCTGCGATTTGCGCCAAAATTCTTAGTTTTTTATGGTCTTTCGAATGAGGTATCACAAGATAAGGGTTGCTATTTGAAAAAAAAAAGTTGGGGGCCCCCCGCCCCCTCCCTTAGGGGGGACCAAAATTTTGACACCCCTATAAGATGGTCCCCTTTGAGTTAGGAACATTCCCAAAGTTTCATTTTTCTATCTCGAACCGTTCAAAAGTTAGCCGACCGTCCTGGAACTTCTGGCCCACCCTGTATTTTGATTTAAATAGGTACGTTCAAATGAAATGCAACGAGGCATTGTATAGTTAGGTACTATGTTTAGAGGTCTGCAAAGACTTCATGCTAGAGGTTTTTTCTACTCAATCAGAAATGCAATTTTTGTACAATTTTAAGGTAAACCTGTGAAACCCTCAGTTTATTTCTGTTTGATGCTAGGTAGCTTCATGGTCTGATTTTGCAGACAAAAATAGTAATTGTGAATCGGATAGCAGTAAAGAAAAACATTAAATAAAATAGAAGGTTTGGTTCAAGAACAAGAACTTCTATGACCTGTGCTCAATACCCATGCGCTGGTCCAATTTGACAAAAAAATTTAGGTTCTAAAAATGTTTGATAATGATAATATGTGATGAGATATTAAAAAAAAAACTTACTAAAGTTTGAAGCCAGCATTCTTCACAATAAACATGCCAACAACAAACAGATATGACGGGTTTTTTATAGTGTTCCTGTGGGCAAAAACAAAACAAAAAATGTAGAAGTTTGAAGCAAGGCTATACTTATCAGAGCTTAAAAGGTGAATATACATACTGTAAGGATTAAGCAAAGCTTCTGAGAGAATTATCAGTCTTGGTCAAGGAGTTAAGCTCCCTTATTTTGTTCTTAAATCGGTACCTACTCCGACACAAAATCAACACCCCTTCATTTTAGCTGGGCAACTTAAAACTTTTTGGGGTGAAGATATCTCCTAAGCTAGTATTTTTCCATATTTTTTCAGACCAGTCGCACAATTTTCTGCAGAAAAAGAGATTTAATAGATTTTGAGACATAAATCGTGACGGTAGTTTATCAACTTCAGGATGAGCTTGCATCCTCTACAACCTGCTGAGGAGTGATTTTGCATTTTTTATGACAAGTATTCTTTCCATTTTCTTCTTCAAAAATTCAATTTTTTGGGGGGATTGACAAACAAAAACCAAGTCATATGTAATGAAGTTTTTCAATGAAAACTAGAATTAGGCCTGTTAATTTGCCAAGAAATGACGATGTCTGAATTACTCATACCTACAGCAAGTGATGGAGCCACCTTTTTTTTTTGTTCCAGAGCATTCAAATGAGCAAAAAAATGATCAACTAAAATATTTAGATATCTCGGCTAAAGGGACAAAAGAAAATTTAATGAGCTGACCTAGAAATGTCGTGATCTGACAATGGTCATGTATGTTTATGCAAGTCGGATATCAGTGGAATTTTGACTCAACGTCTTACGATTTGATCAAGAATAAATATCGAAGGGCATTTACTCACCATGCAGATTAAACAAATAAATTTATCACCATTCACAGCTTTCGTTTCATTTTCTAATTCTTTGATTCGCCTTTTTAAAGCTTCTACGACTAAACCATCTGTTTGATTCGCTAAATCTGACTTCTTGGTTAAGTTTTCTGTTGAGGACGGCTCTTCCTTGACTTTTGTCATGTCGACATCTTCTTTCATACTACTAGGACTCCTGTGACAAAAAACACGACTGTTAAATAAATATTCTACGGTACAAGACCAGACACCAGGTGTACTGAATGGGTGGTTGGAAAATTAGATGAACGAATACAAAATAGGACTCACAAGAGAGCTTCCACAAATGGATTACATACTTAACAAAGGGAAGCCGTTGATGTGGGAGAGAAGAGTTCTACTCATTGAGGTAAACGTAAAATTTTGCATTACATGGTTCATTCTTTTAAAGAAAACTTTAAAAAGGTAATTGATTTTAAGTTTAATGTTTTAAGCAGTGTTAAATGGAAACAGAATGGATGTCAACATCTGTCATTTTTAAGAATAACAACGTTTTACAGCCTTTGAATCTTCAAGAATGATTCGAATAAATTTTTAAACTCAGACACGGTGTAGAGAAGTTTTATTCTCTGAAATTTCCTGATTGCTGCAGAAAAAAACCTTGATAAAAACAAGGTATTTCCTCTAATTTTTCTCAAGATTCTCATGGAAAAACAAAATTTTCTGTGGAGATAGCAGAAAAAGTTAAGTTTTTTGTCTTATGTCAGATTTTTTGAGGCCAAATTAACTTAAGCCAACAATGTTAAAAATCATTGATCTTAGATAAAAGAGAGAGGAGATTTTTGGTTTCCATTACCAATTTTCTGACAAATTCCTGGATTTTTCTGGGTATATTTCATTCCCGGATGGGTTCTGGTATTTTCTAGTACTAGAGTGAGTGATCAATCAAGGACCAAGTTACATGTAAAACAGTTAGAAATCTGCCCAAAACACTAGAAAACCAAATTAAACGATTTCCAAGAACTTTCCAGAGGGGACCTAAAAGAGAGGATTCACCGCACTAAGGACTCAAATCATCTGTTGAGGGTCCCTCTGACTCCAAAACCCTCAGGAGTTTATTTTTTCACATGTTGAGGAAATAGTTCTGTATGTTTTATTCTCTTTCAGATAAATGAGTTTATTTCTTTCCTATGTCAATAGTCTTGTTTCTTTTTAGGATTTTTTTTTTAATTATAAAGTAGGTAAGTAGGTATAATATTCCTGATAATTTCAATCAATTTGTATCACACAGATCCTCTTGAACTCATTTTTTCAGCTGTACGAAAAAGCTATCTATGAGAATGATGGATGTCTATTTAAAACTGATTATACTTACCCACCATTCTTTTGATTAAAATCTCTTTCATTAGCTTTGTATGTTGTGTGTAAATCTCCTGAACTGGATCCTTTTAGTTTAAATGATGTCAAAATTCAAGGCTTTGAAGACTATGAGCAAGTTGTTCTCAAAAATCAAAGGCGCAATATCCTACCCTCTCCTAGACACCTAATTTTTTTCCTATTTTTGAACTAAAAACTTGAATACATACATAAAGCCGCTTTTATAGTGCCGCCTCGCTTTCTGCGACGCGTAATCGCCATTGCCCCCTATCCTCCCAGAGATCGCCAGGCGGAAGAAAACTTGAATTCCCCTCTAAAATAATTTTTTAGCTGATGTTTTAAGTCATCAAATTTTTTCTGCCTCTTGCAAAAATTTGAAATAAACTGCTTGTTGCGTTTTCTGAAGACATCTCAAGAATGAAAATTTAGTCTCGATGAAAAGGAACCACTATCAAACTGATTCACATAAATTGAGGGGCTTGGAAGACAAGTCGCATAAGTGCAGTTTTTATTATTTTGAAAAAAACGAGCTTGAAGTTCTGGATTTTACTCGGACCTACAGAGAGTTCCAAATACTTTCAAAATTTACAAGTATTTGTCTCACACCTTCACGAACGTTTTCTGGAACTTTCAGCTCAGTTGAGCCAAATTGAGGTCAGCAACTGGGCTTTAGGTGACGGTAAGTTGCTCTTATCTGGCATCCCCTTTAAAAGAAAAATGCACTTATCCCGTTCACTATTTTCTCCACATCAATTAATGACTTCCAGATAAAATAGCCAGGTATTCTGATAGACTTTACCTTCAACTACCAAAAAACACGCACAACTCAATTTTGATCAAAGACATGCCTCTGAGCGCACAATTTTATTTTTATTTTCATCCTTCCTTTTTCAACACAAGAAAACATGAAATGGTCTGGATTTCTGTTTCCCCTTTGCGTCTCCTTCCTGTCTTTATCTAATGTGCTTTTAGTGAGGTCCAGTCGTTTTCTTGTATCTCAACTGTTGAATTACAAGAATAAGGAGCCATGGCAAGCAGATGAGGCGGCTGGGCTCTAAACTCCAGTCTTGTATTTCTGAAACTGCACTTATGCGCCTTGTCTTCCAAGCCCCTCAATTGTCATCAATAGAGAATTTTTTCAATCAAATGATGAGCTGGTCCTTGTGCTAAAATCTTGTTGGAAAACGTTAATTTTTTTCTGTCATCTTGTATAATTCGTTGAAATCATGTCTTTGTAAACATTGCATACATAAAAATTCGTCATTTTCTTTCAGATGCTAAAAATATCCTTCCCTTGCCTAAACACTTTATGTATTGAAAAGACAGAGCCTAAAATTCCTATTAAACCAAATGACTGTAAATAAGAGTTGAGAGGGTAAAACTTACTCTTGCATGCGCTCAGAGGCACCATTTTCATTATGACTAGGCGTTGATGAGATAACATCATTTTCACAATATTGGGGTCTACCAAATACAGCAACATCATCTCCATCGACCACGAGATCCTCTTCTTCCTCCGCCGCACTGGCTCGAGTTCCAGCTACCATTCCCACACCTAGAACCAAAATCCGAGGATTAATTACAGGATTTTAGGATACACACTGTTATACACCATTTTAGTAAAACAGAGGAAAATTTTCTATGCACAGTGCAATTATCATTTTGTTTTTCAGTGATTGACAGCTTTTTAGTAGTTATGAGCTCTTTCTCTTTAGATGAAAACAGTAAAGTTTACATCAATTTCAAGTCGGTTTTTACTGAATTAGTGATGATAGACAATGGACATAGCTTAAAATGCTAATTTCTTCAAACAATTTTACAGGCAGGGGAAGTATTCAGTGAAGATATTTTAAGTGCAGAATTAATTTTACGACTTCTGTTCATCAAATTATGCATTTCATTATTTCAAGTGATAATTATTGTATTTACTCAGTAAATAGAGTTACTTTCGTTTAGAGAGGATTCCGATTAATTTAATAATTTTACAGGAGAACAGAGTTTCTCTTTTTAGGAAGTGGATTACACTTATTGTGAGAAAAAGTGTCTGAAACTTAAAGGGAGGAAAGGTAGGAGAATCCATTTTCCTTTTTAATGTATTTTTACGTCAAAACTAATTCTGCGTATGAAGAAATAAATTATGCAAGATATTTATCGGCGTTAAGTAAATGAAAGATAGAATTTTAAGAAACTTGAGGTACCAGTGAAGATCTTTCGAAGTCAATTTCATTGAGAGACTTTAAAATATCAGAGTGAAGTTGGTAAATAAAAAGAATGAGCCAATCTTATGATTCAGCAATACACTGTCCCACATTGATGGCTAAATGCAAAAAAAGCAAGTATCTCAAGTGCGATGTTAAAATATATTTGAGGATGTTTGAACTGAAGTTTTCCTTGTAGTTCTGTGCAATTTTTTTTTTTTTGAGTGAGTGAACAGGAAATTTCAAGAGAATCTGTAATTAGTTTTCCTTTAAAATAACTCACAGCAGAAACTTACAACATTGTAATCTGAGATACACATTTTTCGATTTAAGCCATCAATATGTCACAAAGATGAACTGGATGCGTGCAACTTTTTCTTCCAAATACTGACAAGCCATTTCTGTCAAAAACCTTTTCAATTTTCGACTTCGCTTGACAAAAATTGCTCCTTCGAAAAATTTTCCTTCATGTAGGTACTGAAGTCCTTTTTTTGTTTGTGATAATATTTAGAAGAAAGCACTTTTTGAGCACATTTCGAGTTCATTTTCAAATGAGCTCCAAGGTGCCAGAACTTGCCTTTATGCACAATATTAACAGCAATATAACAGCCTGATAATAGAAATTTCATCACTTCGTCATGGAAAAACCTTGGTCACCACTCGACTTGGACTTTGAATCTTTTAATCTGCTTTGCTTAGGAGGAGTGCCATCCGAGTATTCAAATTTGCCCTTTTCTGCCGATATAGCATATTGATTTTTGAGATTTGTAAATATTTTTCCTGCAAATTTTCAGATGCAGTATATTTTTGAGATCAAACCGTCGGAAAGATTCACTCATTTTTCCAAAAATCAATACTTTCTCAAAAGAAGGAAAGCACTGTTTGAATTTTCACTAGACATCCTTCCTTGACACAGAACTAACGTTATCTGCCTAGCAAGGCAATTCGATAAGTTGACGATAGAGTTTCATCGAACGGCTTTGAGCTCCTAATCTCATCGGAGGACAAACAAGTTCTCTTCCGATGATATAAGGGCTCAAATCCAAATCAAATAGACTTCATTTTGCACTAAGGAACTATTATTTATAGCTCATCTGTAAAAACACTCACGTACATGGGCAAACTAATAGTGCATGCGTTGTTTCTAAAATGAGTTAGAAATTGTAGTTCCAACTTGCAAAATGCAGTCCGAATACGTCTGGACAAGAGTACTTTACCTGTATATCCACCAGTCAGCAAAGAGGCTGCACGTATCCTTCTCTGCCCAGCCCATTCGTATTCTTCGAATGATTCTGAGTAGCCCTCTACATCCACGGTTTCATCTTCATTATCATACTGGAAAAAATACAACATAATAATAGTCAGTTTTGGAACACTGGACACTTATTTGACTTTAAACTTGAGAACTTTTCTTTGACAATCGAGGGGCTTGGAGGACAAGGCGCATACATGCAGTTTTTACTATTTAGAAATAGTGAGAAATAGTGTTTGAAGTTTCGAAATTACATGGATCCTCATGGCGGAAAAAAAAGTTCAAACTGACTTTTAGATGCTTAAAAATTGGAATTTGGGACTGAATTTTTCACAGAATATCCATTAAAACTAGTTTTACTTGAAATTAATAATATCTTAATTTTTTTTAAAAAAACTGCACTTTTGCGCCTTGTCCTCCAAGTCTCTCAATCACAATGCTTAAGGAAGTAATTGTTGCAATATTTGACCATTAATAGGCGAATGGTTAAAATTAGAAAATTTTGAATCAAGATAAAATATATTTTTCTACTTTAGCCAACGATATACACAATGAGTATGTAGTTGGCAGAAATTTAGTTTTGTCTGATCCATTCTTTACAGCATACCTACACTTTTTTTTTTTCTTATAGAAAACCAAACTAAAAATTTTAAATTTCTGCAAAGTTAGGCAAGATGACGGATACAGAGGGTAGGTAACATTATGGACTACATTTTGCAATTTGGAACTATAAATTTTGGCTCTTCTGGAAAAACACTTATGTGCATAGGGAAACTGATGGCACATACGTTGTTTTTAAACCGGGCTAGAATTTATAGTTCCAAATTGCAAAATGTACTCCATTTGAAGTTTGCACCTCTTTTAGGTTGCTACGGAATTACACCCCCCGACCGCTTCGCGCCTAAGGCGTTGTACGTTACTTTTAAGATTTTATATTACATGGAGTAAGATGTGATCAATTATGGCGCAATTTTCAAGTATTTTATAAGTATAACACCCTTCCCTTGGAAACAGTTACAGAAAAAATAATATAATCCGTAAAATAGACTCATTCATTAAAAAAAAGCCGAAAATTTCAGCTTAGACAGGTTTCAAAATCAAAATTATTGTGATTATTGATCACGGCTCCAAGAAAAAAAAAAGAAAAAAACTTGTAGAGCTGAAATGATTTTTGGTGGCACTGTCACGACAAACTAAGCATACTCAACTCGATGATCATTGTGACTCTCTGTGCTTCACCAAAAAAACGTAGGTATCCTCTAGATTGGCTTAATATGTAAATTATACTAGAGGCAAACAAAATGTACCTTGTGCAAACACTTTTCTACATGACCATTAAGGTCTTCAGGGGATCCAGAAATATCTTCGTTACATACCGGACAAGCGACGTCGTCCGCTTTTCTCTTCTTATTTTTTATCCTTAGCCGCCCTTGTCTATTTGTCTTGATTCTTTGATACGTCTGCAAACAGAAAAAAATACAAATTAATAAAGAGAAGGAAAAAGGAACTTATTGAAAAAAGTAAGTAAAAGATATAATGGAAGATACGAGAGAGAAATAAATCGTCTTCCTCTAAAGCCAAGAGTTATTGATACCTTCATGATTTTTTATCGTTATCGAAAGATCCCTATAGATACATTCCAATATTAGAAATGCTGTCTATCGAATAAGGTCATTCAGTGACGATTCGAAAATCGCGTGGATGACGTTTAAAGATTTGACCTCTTCAAGTTACGATGAAACTTGTTGCCTGTATTTTTCTTTGGCATCCCAGCAGAGAACCATCAACATAGGACATTTATCTTCGTTTCCATTTTACGAAACTTTCCAACGGTAAGAATGCCCAGTGCCTTTGAGGCTTACTAGGTGTAGCGTTGAAGACGAAATCAACAAACAACTATTTGGACGTGAAGGAGCTGTTCTTGCCTAATCGCTTAAATGAAGGCGGAATATGTTCCGTGCGACAAAGTATGAAACTTAATTTCGCGCACGCAGAGCGTGGCTCCCCTCCAACTGAGCAAGTAGGCAAAGCATTAATTCTTTCAATCAAAATATAGTCTTATCCTAAAGGACTGTCTTGCCCCATCGTTTAGATAGGGCAAAAAACGCTCCGTGCCGCAATAGGCGATTCTGTATGGATCAGCAACAGAATGCGATTCCCCTTCAATTGAACAAATAGGCAAAAAAATTCTGCACATTGAAATAATCATATTCTGAACGACTGTAGACCGTATTCATAGTCGTTCCTTAAGCAGCTCCTTTCCGTAGGGACGGGAGGTCTCATGCGACAGGGGTCGATGATATTCCCCGCGTAAAAATTGTGGAAAACCCGCGAGCATTGTGGAAGCCCCTAAATTTTTCCTCCTTTTTTTCCTGCGACATTCGGCATAGGAATGGTAAAATAAGCGTTGATTAAGCCCTTCTAACTACCATACGAAAATTTTCTCCCCATCAGTCAACTGAAAAACGTAACCACTAAAAAACAAAACAAAAAAGTAATATTTTTTTGAGGCATTACTTTTTCGGCTTCCGCAAAATCGTGGAAAACAGAGAACTTTACCGACCCCTGTCATGCGGTTCACGTTATGATTAAGAGAGATTTGATGATTCCTTTTACATATCACCATAAAAAGCATCCTCTTTATGAAACTTGAGTGACATGCAACCATTAAACAATGGAATTGAATCTTTACAAGAGATCACAATGATTTGACACTGCGAAAAATACAAAATACAAAAGAGAATATTATGCCATGTTTTGAAAATCTCGAGGTAGGTCCCTGGATCCCACCGATCTTAACCGTTTTCAAAATCATGGAATACTTCCTATTATGCCTCACAATTTTTGCAGAAGAATGATTATTTTAATCCCTTGCAAGGATCTATATTTCCATGGTTAACTGTTGAAATTTTTTCAAATTTCGCAAAAATTGAACCTTTTATTATACTGCGTTAGAGGCGTCCATTAATTGCAATGCAAACCCCATGGAGCCTCTATTGGGCAGAGCTACGTTTGAGGTACGACTATGAATATGACCCTCTTCCTACCTAGTTGAAAGCAATTCCAAATGAGCGGTAGAACTTGGTTCTCCTTCAATTCAGAGTGTAGGCAAAGAGCAGTTCCAACGCGGTGGAATAGCCGCATCTTAAAATATTGTCTCGAGTACGCTCTTTGTGCTCGGCTGACCTTCGCCCTCTTTTCACTCTTTGCTCCCCGGTGAAAAACGTTGATTGGACGTAATTAAAAGTGAAACTCTCGGGAAGAATATGTAAATCGGTGCAACTCCTCGCGACGACGAGTATAATTACTTCCATTCCGTGACAGATAACTCCTTCAGGTTTTTAATTAAAACTTTCGCAGTTCCACTCTCCGCTTCAAAGAAAGCGCAGCGGTCCGAGTTTCAGCTCGAAAGGGAGGCCAGCGTTTTGGATTCGATATTTCTTGGCGTTGAGACGGATCAGGAAAGTGCAGAGCACCTTCCACACTGGAAAAAAAAAACACATTACATCTAGAGTCCAGACTCTTGAAAACATTGACAAGAAAAAGGACTCTTGATTCAATCAGATTTTTGCTTAGATCAAAAGGAAATCCGCTCAAATTAAGAGGCTTGGTTCTTGATTTAAGCAAAAATCCGATTGAATCAAGAGTATTTTTTCTTTTCAGTGTTTTTAAGAGTCTGGACTCAAGATCCAATGTGTTTTTTTTTCCAGTGCAGAGCTTCTTTTCCTTTAAATTAGGTTTTGACCCGCTAAGAACGTGCCTTTAAAAGGGGACTGTATATACATTGGCGATTCTTGAACTTTGGTAACATTTTTTTACCTCCATTTAAATGTATACAAACGATCGATTCTTTGTGAGACACCTTGCCTCACATAATATCGATATTTTTAAGGGATTTAATTGGAGGAAAAACAGTGTTGCTGACTTGCAAAATTGCCACTGATGGGATATGACTGCGTTCGTGTGAAAAGGGACCTCAGTCCATGGAGGCAACTTCAAAACTCGGTTTCTGACAGATAAGGGTCCTTTTTTGCCTTACATTTTTTTTTTTTGGATGAAGATATATTAAAGGAAGTCGTTCGAAAGGAAAAGGAAATACAAATGTGCAGTATCATATTTTCCGTATTACTTCACAGTATTTGGAATGAGTTCTGGGTTTAGCAACACGTATAACAAGATTTTCCAAATTGTTTTGCGTTCTATTGTTGATTTGAGTTCCTCTTATTATTTAGTTAAATTTCTCCTGCATCTTAATTTTTAATTATTCTGCAAAAATTATCCATTTGCGAAATACAATCCTGGCTTTAGCGCCCTTAAACTACGGCCTTAACGGTCCAAACTGCAGAAGCGGCACAAGAAAACCGAGAAACCAAGCGGTGACGCTACTTCAATATTAAGCTGCCAATGCTGCCATCGCCTTGCTAAGGCGCAGGGATACAACTATTTGAACTCTCCGGAACGCGTGAGGTATCACGCCTCAATTGAAGGCGTTTTCGAATCATCTGTATTTACATTACAAGATTTTCCAAATTGTTTCATTATATTGTTGATTTGAGTTCCTTTTATTAATTAGTTCAATTTCTCATGCATTTTCATTTTTAATAATTCTGCAAAAATTATCCATTTGCGTAATACAATCCTGGCTTTAGCGCCGTTACACTACGGCCCCAACTGTCGAAACTGCAGTAGCGGCAGAGGAAAACCGAAAAACCAAGTGGTGACGCTACTTCAATATTAAGCTGTCATCACCTTGCTAAGGCGCAGGGATACAACTATTTGAACTCTCCGGAACGCGTGAGGTATCACGCCACAATTGAAGGCGTTTTCGAATCTTTTGCGTTACATGACAAGATTTTCCTAATTGTTTTGCATTACACTTTTGATTTGAGTTCCTCTTATTATATAGTTAAATTGCTCCTGCTTCATAATTTGTAATTATTCTGCAAAAATAATCCATTTGCGAAAGACAATCCTGTCTTTAGCGCCCTTAAACTACGAATTTAACCGTCCAAACTGCAGTGGCGGCACAGGAAAACCGAAAAACCAAGCGAGGACGCTATTGCAATAAGCTTCCAACGCCTTGCTAAGGCGCTGGGAATGACCCATTATGTTTCTACGCCTAAAATCATTCAGTTTACCTTCATAAAAATTAATGTTCCTAATCCTGCACATCGGTCTTTTTTTCAAACTTTCTCGCATGCATTAAATCTTAGCCCTGGTCATTTATTATACCATCCAACTGATTGTTCCTTTTCATCACAAGGGACTTTGGAAATCTTGGCGGCCACATGGTAAAACTATGGAAGCGTTCATAAATTACGTAACATACTTTTTCGGCATTTATGACCCCTCCTCCTTCCCTCTTGTAACGCAACCACAAACACCCCATATCCCCTCTTGAAAATGAGATCCCAAAAATTGTGGGATACTGTTGAAAATTGGTATAGCTGGATAAAATTTCAAGTATTTTATGGATAGTGTGCCAAATAACCTCGAATAAATGAAGATAATACATGCAGTTCATTGATCGCGATCGCCATGGCGACCTGCAAAAATTGCCCAAACTCTCGTAAGATTTTGGGGTTTTTACGAATGGAGAGGATTACGTGACGCTGACAATGAGCCCCTCCCCTTTAGAACTCAGCTTAACGTAGGCTCATGCCCCCTCCCTCTCCCTAGAGCGTTACATAATTTATGAACGCTTCTTGTGGGTCATAGATGGATTCAGGGGGCTCGAAGAAAAAGTGGAAGAAAAAGGAGAGAAAGAAAGAAAGGAGGAAAGAATGGAGGAAAGAAGAAAAGAAGGGCACTTAGATTTGGAAAATTCATGACGATTGACTCAAGCTGCATAGCTTTAAAATTTTGAAAATTTTCTAGAAGGAGCCCCCGGACCCCCCTTATGCCCCCCGTTCGAAGTGTCTGAATCCTATGCTGCCATTCTAAGAAAGAGCGCCGTATGAACATTCGAGAGTTGCAAAATTTCCTTCAATAAAATGCTAATTTTGGAGGAAAGATATGAAAATTTTTCCTTGAAAGTTTCAGGGACTTCAGGTGAAATTGCGAACAAAATTATCTGAAAAATTGGAAGTAAAATATTCATAAATTTACCAGAAAATTCGTTAATTGAAATTTGGTAACGCCTGAAGGTTCATTACGGCGTTTTTCCTTAGCACGGCAGCATGTTGTAGGTGCTTGTTGGGTCACTGATAAGAGCGCAAATGAATGTCAAACATTGCGCTTGCGCGCAGATACGAGCATGCGTACAAGAACATTCCAAGACTCACCTCCCATCGCCCTTCCAGGGATCCGTCAACAGCGGCGGCCGGGTCGTCCCTGTGGTTGTTGGTCCTCGGGTGCGGGAGCGAGGGGCGGCGCATCCGGTTCTTGGAGATCTTCGTCAACCGGTCCAGCTCCTGGAGCAGGTGCGACTCCAAGTCGTTCGCCCTGATACTCACGCCGCAGACCGGGCAGCAGTTCGGGTCCTTCGGCGCCTTCTTGTTCCCTGCGACATCCGGAAAACCAAGACTATCAGTAAACGGAACCCCGAAACCGAACATGGACATGGCGCTCGCGGGGAGGCAGGCGGCCTCCGACATGGTTGAAACTAGACTGCGGAGGCGCGGGGATTTCGAGGTTGACTTGTGTTCCGGAGGGGCTGGTTCGCTTCCCCTCGGACCGGGGTGGTGGTGGAAACAGCCCTTACTAATTGTTGCAGCGGTGAGCCCTGAGCTTCCCCCCCCCCCCCNCTCGCCCGGGTCTAAGGGTAGCCCGGGGCGAATTCTTGGGAGTCACGAGTCAACCCGGAGCCGAGCTGTCTCGCACGCTCATTCATTCGTGGCTTTTTGTCGTCGTCCCGTGGCTGCCGCACAATGGATCGAGTTAACAGGGGACTTTGGACAAAATTTGGAAACTTTAAGAGCTTATAACTCCGTTTATAAAAAAATTTGAGGTTCTGATATAGGTTTCATTGGTTTCCTCGTGAAATTTTCTTCAAGAAGCACCCCTTGAAACTTAAAATGTGACGATATAAACGTCAAAATTTGCAGTTAAAGTAAAAAATGTCATGTCCGAGCTCTTTAATTGACTAAATCCACTGTGCGCCGTCGTGATACCAGCTGGTGAGAGATGACTCCGAGAGGTGATGGGTAGTCACCGTCGCCAAATTGCCCGTTTTGCGACGTTAATTGGATCGTTTGGATGGAAAACGACTCAACTACGAGGCGGGAAAAGTGCAAAACATTGAGAGAAACTGACTGGTTCCTGGATTGAGTTCCTTTGGGCTGCAATAATTTTTTCTCGATTTTGCACTTTTTACCTCCTCTGGGTATATGATGTTTTAATTTGTGTCGTGAAAAACTTTTTCCACTTTTGCTTTGGACAAGATAGGGGAGACTTTGATACTTCCATGCGTTGAACTTTCCATGATGCCTTGAAAAAGCGCACCAGAAAAAATGTTAAAAATATGACAACTTTGGCCTCCAATCGGATTTTCATTTTGCACCCTTTTAACCCCTTAAAATTGGGTCGTTTTCGGCACCTACCACACAACTTCCTTCAGGACAATCAAAAACTATGAAAAAAAATATGTTCTCTCTCACGTATATTACTATACATTGTCTACAATCATTGTTCTCAGTGTGCCGAAACGCACCAAGAAAAATAGCACACATTTTACAAAATAAAAAAACATCCCTTAGAAATTGCGCAGAGGAAAACTGAATGATTTTTACTGAAAACTACCCACGTCTGCGGGCGGAAATCCAAAAAACGAAAGAAATTGGTTGGAGCCGATAGTTTTCAATATTTGAAAATATTTTGGGCGCAGCGCACGTTGTTCAGCTGTGCGGAAACTATCAGACAACGATACCGAATTTCTGCTTCTTTTAGGCTGAATATTCACTTATTCGCATGGTTTAGGGTAGGGGTGCAGAAATTTCTTCAGAGTAAAAATTAGTCATAAACTCATCCCAAAATTTCCTCAACTCACTAAAAGTTTAGAGGTAGGTTTAAAGCCAAAATATTTCAAAAATTAGCGCGCTTTCCTCTTTCAATCAGTCTCCAAAGGCATGAAAGGGATGAAAAACAATTTCCACCTAACATTTCCTCACGCGCTTTCAGATTCCTTCAAGCCACGTGCGAGCAAGCAGAAATTTCTGCACCCCTGGTCTCCAGAGAGAAGAGACAAATTAAATATACGGGACACAAAAGTGGGAAGTAATTCGATGTTAGCCTCATAATGCGGTGTTTTACGACTTAATCCGGCAATAACGGCGGTCCCGATTTGCGGGCGGGGGGAGGGGAGGAGGGCGGATTGTTATTCTTTCGACGTGCCCCGTGTTTCGGATCTGGTCCGGTCCTTTGAAAACAACCTCGGCCAAATCCTTGTCGCTGGCACCACAAAAATGCCGGAGAGAGTCCACCTTTCGATACGATAATAATTTTAACGGCCGACTAAATTATCAACGCTACTATTTAACGAGGTGGACTTATCACTGTAACTGCATGAATTACTCGATCCGTGATTTAGGGTTATGTTCGTATGGTCATCCCGAATTAGCTCCTTTCTTTAGGCCCCATGCGGTTAACATCGGGGTTGAGGGAGGTATATAAGGGAAGTTTGAGGATACCTTAACATACCACCACAGAAGGAATAATTTTTTGCAAAACTCTAGTAAAAGTCACCATACTTCTGGAAATGGATCCTGCTCACAGGGGTTTATTTTCATAGTTTTCCGGTACTTAAAATAAGAAAAAAAAATGTCATTAGTTTGTCAAATTCTAAAGTTACCAACCTTACAAGTTTCTTAAAATCATAAATGTATTTGTTTCGTATTTTGCATTTTTTTGGTGGCAGATTATTTTCATATCAACAAAATATATTACTTGCATGAGAGTTACTATAGCCATAGAAATTGGACCGGTGGATACTTAAATATACTCAGAACCAAAAATGAAAAATTAGAGAAAAAGAGCAAAAGAGCAGGGAGTGATGATAATTTTGAGTCTTTAATCCTGATGTGCTGAGGAAAAACGCCGTATAAGCATCCAAATGTAGCCAAATTTCCAATCAGAAAGTATTAATTTTTGAAGAGAGTTGTGAATTTTTTTCTTTGAAATTTTCAGACTTTTTAGCTCCAACTTCCAAAGAAATCCTCCGAAAAATCGGAAGAGAAATATTCGTAAATTTGTCCGATAATTCGCGATTTGTCAAAGAAACTTTGGGCAACTCCTTTTCTTTAGCACGGCAGAATCGTAACATATCCTTTATACCCTCAACATTTAGAGAATAAATAGCCGGTAGGGAACCTGTAAAATACGATGTCTCTGTTCTCAGGCGAGTGGTAAAAGTTGGGGGCACGACTACCGGGAGTTAACTCTTCCTCTCCTCTTTTTCCAACTCTCTTCCTCTTCATCCACCAGTCTGCTTCAAGCGCACATTCTACCCCACCCCACCGGTCGGAGAAAAGGGGTTAACTGCCCCACCTCCGAGTTGGAAACGGTTCGGAAAGAGGGCACAGGCGGATTCGGGCTTAAATTGACATTTTTCTTGCTCCGCTAGCGTGCGATTACCTCCTAATTCCGTCTCACCTTCCTCGCTCCTTCGTTTATTCAATTCCTCGCGTCGCGGATTCGTCCTCCTCCTTTTCCTTCTGTTCGTTTTTTTATTGATCCACTTTGAAACAGTGTCGCTTCCCGAGAACGCGCTATAACGGCGAAGCCACGAGTGAAAAAATGAAAATCCCCCCGTAAAGTGCAGTCGTTTGATCTGCGAACGGCGGTGCGCGGGAACTCGGGATGGTTTACGACCGGCCGGCAGCCAATTAGGAGCGGATGTGGGTCGGACCTCTGTTGCGGAGATCGCGTCGCTTTTCGCTCGTGAAAACGTTATCGTTGCACTGCGATGGTCGTAAAAAGTTGTGCTTTAAGCTGGAGTGAATTTCACCTTGTAATAGCGGTGCAACTGACATTGTGCCGAAAGTTGCAACGTTTGAACCTGTCGGGTCAGGGCCCGATTTGAACTGAATTTGGCAATGCGGAACTACGATTTTTGGTTCATCCTTAAAAGAACATTATGTCTACGGGGAAATTATAGGTACATAGAAGCTGGAATTAATATCACCTCGTAACAGCGGTGCAATTGACATTGTGGCGAAAGTTGCGACATTTGAACTTGTCGGGTCAAGGCCTGATTTGGGCCGCATTTTGAAATCGGGACTACAATTTTTGGCTTATCCGTGAAAAAACATACGTATACAGAGATATTGATTATTATTTTTAAACTGAACCAGTAATGGAGATGTTGCGTGTGTGAGGAATTTGCGATTTGACTGTTGATTCTTGTGTAAAAGTTCGCGAGAAACACGATGGTGCCGCTGGTTTTCTCTGAAATCAACTCCCAAGCTCAAAAAAAAAACTCTCAAGTTGAGGCCAAAATGGAGGGAATATCCCACGCTATCCTGAGAGTCCACCTCTACATCAAGACGAACTCTCCATGCAAAGATAGGGAGCAAATACATTGACAGGGCTGCTTTTATTTGGGGACTCTGAAACTGAAACCACGGCAACCCTGCTAGTGTATTTGCTCCCTATCTTTGCATGGAGAGTTTGTCTTGATGTGGAGGTGGAATCTCAGGATAACGTGGGATATCCCCTCCATTTTGGCCTCAACGTGAGAGCTTTTCTTGAGCTTGGGAGTTGATTTCAGAGAAAACCAGTGGCACCATCGTGTTTCTCGCGAACTTTTACATAAGAATCAAAAGTCAAATCACAAATTCCTCACACATGCAACATTTCCATTTTTGGCTCATCCGTGAAAAAACTTATGTATACAGGGATATTGATTATTAGTTTTAAACTGAACCAGTAACTGTAGTTCCTATTTGCAAAATATCGTTCATTTATGCATTTGCACAAGGTAATCAAGCTCCAGCTTGCCGCGATATTGTGCCATTGACTTAGAGGCATGTCAAACTATGTGATTTGTTTGATGATTAGATTGACTGGTCAACATGTTGGTCAATAGTGATCATTTGGGGGCGATCATCAATGACGATCCTTGGAAAAAACGCCCGCATCACCTACTTCGTAGCTCCTCTGGATGACAAAGGGGTTACTTTATTTCCACTTGAACTATATTTTCCATTTACCTCCATACTTTCCAGGACTCATGTGAAAATGAAGATATGCCCTTCATATGGAGGTTAATAATATTCGAATATGAAGAAACAGACGCATGCGAAGATCTAAATATTCCTATATGAGACTCACAATCGGTGTAAAGGATGTTAATGAGACTCAATTTTAAAGGTGATAGACATACACAGTTCAACACCTTTTTTACGGGTTAAAAATTTGTTTTCTCCACGTAGAATTTTCGACAGGAAAAAATACGGCTGGTAGGTCTGATCACTACTCCTACCTCATTTTTTCCGAAAATTTGACTTGGTTCTTTTCTATTTGAGGTGGTCTTTACTGGGGTTGAACTGGCGTGCAATGTATCGC